AATCAATACCCAGCATAGCAAATAGAGCCAAGTTGTAGAAAAGTTCTAACTGCCAATATTTTCAAATAGGTGTGCTTAAAATGTGCTTTGAGATTAAGTATGGATTTGGCCACAAGGAAAATTTTCAAATAAGAAACTGTATAGAATGCTGGAGAAGTAATACTTTAATCCTAAAGAGTATTTCAGAAGTACTTACTGATCCTCTGAACTAGAAGCATGTTAGAAGGTTTGAAGAAACTGAACTGAACCCGTCCATGTGTTTTTTCCATTAAGGAAAAACTGTTTTGATCCTGAAATTCTTCTAGAACTGGCTTGTAGTCCCTGTCCTCCTCTGGAAGCTTGTCTCTTATCAAAGCTTAGGTGTGTTTGTTAAACGAGATCTTTATAATTAATGGCAGCTAAAATGATTTTTGTAGTGCTATTGCTTGCTTTCTAATGTGGAACCAAAAGGAATCATACTATCAGACTAGGTATCTAGATCAGTGCTGTTTTCAGCCAATACCAGTGATTTTTCCCAAGAAATAACAACAGGGAAGTGTATAAAGATACTTCCCCAGCCTTTAATTTCACTTAAGAGCTTTCTGAACTGAAGAGAGGGTGTTTTTCTAAGTAAACTATGAAGTCTTGAGAATTTACTGAGAAATACTGTTGTTACTGGGACATGCTTCAGTAGTTGTATAACAAACTTGTTTGATTGGCTTAATCTAAATTTTGATGGTTTTCTCTTAGTTACAAGCTGCTAAAATTGGAGTGGTCCAAATAAAGCTAAACATGTTGTTGCTCTTGCATAGTGTTAGTAACTTCCAAAACCACTATAGCGTTTCTGGCATTATCTAAGAGTATTCGTAAGGCATAACGTTGTTAAAATATTTTAAGTTTCAAAATTAAAGTGGAAATTACTTCTAGTGAAATTGCAGTGCAGTTTTTTGAAGCCACATCATTTGAATGTCTGAGAATTTGACTCTTGGGTTCTTCACTTTATTCCATTTGAAGCAGAAAAAATTGGTATGAATGATTTGGATTCTCTAGAGTGTTTAAGAGTTCTGAGCATAAAGAAAAATAGTAGAACAATTCTTAAGGATTTGCAGACAAATTTACCTGGTTCCTGTTTCTCCTGATCTTGTTTTTCTGGGAACACTATTAAGGGCAAATGCAATAAACATTTGTTTATGTTGAGTTTGACATTTGATCTTACATAGATTATATTGATTTACTCCAGACAAATACAGAGCATCACGTTGTTCTACGTTAAATACAAGCATTTGTATTGTCTTAGAGGGAGCTGGAATCCTGGCTTGTAGTTCTTCCACAGGAAGATTAATTCTACCTACAGATTAACATGGAACAATTCTACTTTGTCATTATCTGATGTACCTAGTGACATTATTTGGTGAACTGAGGAGTAATCATTGCTTGGAGCTCTCTGCTATGATTAAATGTAAAGACAAAAATCATGCAGTTATTACTTCATCCAGTTAAATTCCTGGGCTGTTGCATTAGCTGCATCCTTGGTCTCAGAACATGGGATTTTAATCTTTAGCATTATGGAAAGCTTTAATCACATGTTTGTTTTCTATTTGTGATGTAGGAAATGTCATTGCTTCATGTAGCTAAGCAGTACAGAATGTAATCTAAGGATTAGGAAAAGGCAAATCTCCCTATTCATCTGACCTTGAAAATCTGATTGGATTTTCTGTGTAATCTAGCATGATTTCTCTCTGATTATCTAAGGCTAGATGTGAATGATAGGTATTGAATGAGCTGTGTGCAGGTAAGATAACATTCTAATGCTTCACTTTATTTCATCTTAGATTTGAGTGCAAAGAAATGACAAGAAAACACAAATCTGAGGCAAAATGTGATCTCAATATAGGATAAATTTTCAGTAATTAAAGTCTTAATGATAGCAGCGAATATGCATAAAGTAAATTTCAATAACTTCAGACCATAATAGGAAAAATACCTTGTCTTGTTCTGTAGTTTCATGGCAATGAGCTGGTAGGAAAAAAGTCATCTTACTTCAAAACTAATGGGGACAATTGTGATCCATCTTACTGAGTATTTACTGGCAGCTTCCTATGAGTCTCAGTAGCTTCTCCAGGCAGTGGAAAGTTGATTAAAGAGTGGAAGCTAAAGAATAAAGACATGGCTATTCTTAAAGTGGTAAATAAAAAGTATGTGGCTGTTTGGGGTAGGAAAACTGATCATCAGAGTAATGAATGGATTTCTTTTAATATTTATTAGAGCAGGAAGGGAATGTTCTTCAACCTTTTTAACTTACTTAAAATACCACAGAATTGAGTGTATCCAGCATTAATGAAGTTGTTGCAGTGAAGTCCTTCAAAAACCGAATTCAAATACACTGTTAGCTAAAATATTCAGGAAATACAAATAATGGTGTATTGATGTTATAAGGGATTTATACAGCTGCCTTACCTGAGGAATGTTGCTGCTCTTAAGTCTTCAAATACTTTTTAACCTTGACAAGTCTGAGACATGTGAATGTTCCTGAAGCAAAGCTCACTTTTAAATATAATATTTCTTGGCAGTATATAGGAAGGTTCTTAAATCACTGTTCATTCACAAGCTTGTGGTTCTAATTTAAAATCCTTAGTACTGGAAATAAAATTTTTATGAAATTAAACTTGCAGGTGGTCAGGGGGATTGCTCTGTCTGTGTGTGTGTGTATAAAACTGATCTTTAGCTTTACCAGTTTACAAAACCATGGTGGGCTTTGTTAAAGAACTTCTATTTTATGAGTTTAAATTAGTTCAGGAGAAAGGTCCTTCGCTGCAACAGTAATTACAGCTCCTGCAAACTAAGGATTTTGCCTCAATCTACCAGGAGTCTCTGGTGCACTGGTATATTCCAAAATACTAGTATAGTGCTTTAATTTTCTGAACAAATTCTAGTCTTAACATTTAAAGTCAATACTAAATTACGCTGTATTAAATGTTATTGTAACTGCATTTGCTTTAGCCATAACAAAATGGATGTATTGCAATTTTAATATTGGTATTTCTTGGTGTAAAATGTTTCTGAAGAGCATCATCCTTAGGATCGGTTTTGAGCTTTGAGCATTTATACTGTCAATAGTGTAAACCAACAGCAGCGTTAAAAACCAGTGTCATGTTTCTGTTTTCCACTTGTAAAACATAGAAACCTTTATGTATCTAGTCTTGATTTCCAAGAGAATCGAAGAGCTTTATCACAGCTCCTCTTGTTATATCAGGAAGCAGGAGTATTAAATGTAGTTTATTTGTATGAGTGCTTTGGTAGCACTACACTTACATTTGTATAAGGTATTTGGAACTTGGATGTCTACAAAATACCAGTTGCCTGCTTTCTGAGTGGGAATATCATGCCCTATAAAATTTCAGTCCTAACTTCATCTGGAAATAAACTTCAGTGTTATTTTACATCTGTTTTATTGCCCATAATTCTCTACTTTATAAAGTGGCGTCTACAAAAAACATGTGAATCCTGTTTTCACCTGTATTCAACTGATAATATATTTGACAGTACTTCTTGTCAGCTTGTGGGCTGAGGGGTTTGGTGTTTTCTCTGGGCACGTTGCAATGTAAGGACACTAGGAGGAAGGTTGCTTTGATGGGGCTCCTCCAAAATGCTTACGTTACTAGGATCCATATGAATCAAAAACTTCCTGGGGACTTGCCATGAAGATTTGACAGTATAGCTGGGGAAGCCCTCAGGTTAGTCTGAGGCTAGTTTGGCTTTTAGTTCTTCAGTTGCTGAGCACTTCAGTCATTGAGCGCTAACTTGAATAAATGCAGTGGTATTTATTTCCTGTTCTGTGGTAGTGAGGTGAAAGCTTGCATGGAAAACTGGAGTTTGTTATTGGGAGAGATATTATCTTCACTTCTGTTGTGGTAAATGAGAATAGACTGGTGTTCTTTAAAGCTAAGTGGATTTTTCAGTAGTAAGAAATGTGTTGGCTTGCTACTTTTGTTTTTCATTGGAAGTTATTTCAAACTATGTTGTCTTTTTAAAGTGTACCTAAAGGATGCTTTCTGCTTCTATATTTTTGATTGGTTTCTTTTGAACACAAGTTTTTGTTGTTGTCTCCTGTTTCAAGTTCACATTCCTACTAAACCTTCAAGGATAAATGTCATTAACTTCCACTGGTTAAGTGGAATAGAAGAGTGTTTCTTGTTAGAACTCCATAGAGTAACTTCTATTGCACTTCTGAAGTTGATTGGATTTTGGTATGTCTTGTGCTAATGTGTTTAACCCACAGCATGCTGGACCTGATCCAGCAAAGACTTTAAGCAGTACTTCATTTTTAGTCACTTTGTATGCTCCTCATGTTTCCCCACTAATGAAGTGAAACCTGCGATTTTTCATTAGCACATTGGAGAGTCAGTATTTGGAGAGAATTATAATCCAGAATCAGTTTTATATGTATCTCTGGAATGACTAGTCACGCAGCCTGGATTTGAACTTCTAATTTCAACACTAATTATGTCGTTGATATAACTCATCTCAGATTTTGGGGTGTGATCTGTGTCTCAACTACATCCCTGAACAGTCAAAAGGTTGACATTTGCTCATCAGTGCACTATAGACAACCACCATTAAAACTCTAGACTGTTTACTGTATAGAGGAAATAATAAAGTACTAACCTAGTTGTGAGTTTAATTTAAAAATGAACAGCAGTATCTAAGTTTTTACTGCTTGAGCCATATAAAATATAAATGTACGAAGTGTTAAGTTAAAAGTTAATGTTTAAAATGCTCAGTTATAATTTGAGAGGTGCTGATATGAACATGAATATTAAAAAAGCTTGAAAAAGCACAACATGGTCTACCCCATTGATGTACATAACCAGTTACATGCATTAGTTATGTAATGTGCAGTGTTTATTATGCCATAGTGTTAGGCTTTAATAGTTTTCAGTTTATACTGACTTTGAAGATCCTCAGTTCTTAGATTGTTGCATTAAACAGAAAATAACTAACTTTTTCCCTTTAACAGAAATTGAAAAATTCCAAAAAGGGGAAGGAAAGGAAGAAGAAAAGTATATTGATGTAGTCATCAATAAGAATATGAAGCTGGGACAAAAAGTTTTGATTCCAGTAAAACAGTTCCCAAAGGTAAGCCCAAATTTCATATTTGCTAAATCTAAGAGCTTGTAAAAGTTCTTTCATGAATATTTTAACTATTCTGACTGTTACACTTTTGCATTACAGTGCTCTAATCCTTTGTCTTCTGATGCATTGCTGTGTATTATTGCTGTAATTTTATTTGTAGCTTGAAGTTGTAGTGTGTAATAGACAAAAAGAAACTGTTACCCAAAGGGTAATCAATGTGGTTTACTTTCAGTGTATAGGGTTAAGTGAAGACTTGATGAAACTATACTTGGATGTAACTTTTTAAAACAGATTTTGACATCTGACTGCCATTAATATTCAGGAGTGATATGAAGCTGAAGCTGTGTCAACTTTAAATTGCCTTGGCCTAATGCTTAAGTGATTATCATGGTGAGTGAATACTATTAATGAATAGCAAAATACAGAATAAAAGTAATTAATTCCTCTAAGGTATTCTGAGAGTCATTTAAGGCCTTGTATGGGCACTTAGGGACATGGTTTAGTGGTGGACTTGGCAGTGCTGGGTTTATGGTTGGACTCAATGTTCTTAGAGGTTTTGTCCAACCTAAATGATTCTATGATTTAAAACTGTTAATCTCTACTGTTTCTGTTCTACAGTCTTGTTCTATAGGAGTTCTAAGACAAGAATGGTTCTTGCTGGAATAAAAGTTATGCTGATCACACAAATAATACGTTGAGAACAACTGATAAATGAATCATGTTTTCAGGATAGGATCATTCTCTTCAGAATATCAAAAGGAATGAGAGATGTTTAAGTTGACTCCGTCGAAAGGCTTTGAAACTTTCTTGCTGTAGGTAGCAGCACATCTTAAATGCACCATCATGGAACTCACTATGTAAACTTTTTGTTTTCATTCTCTTAAAATTCAGCCGTTGTTAGTCTTGAATTAGTTAGGTCTACACTGCTAAATTATGCAATGTATTCTGAAGGGGTAGGGACTGTTCTATTAATATTTGACCACCATGAATTCTTAACTCTTACTGCCAAGTGTTTTCCTGCACTAAAATATTGCTACCTGGAAGCATTTATTCAACATTAATAGGCTGTAGAACTTTATTCTTTTGGTCCCTTTTTAAATTAAGGTTGATGTGAAAATAAGACTCACATTCATTTTCATTTGCTTGAAATGGCTTTTTCCTACTAGAAAGTTCAAGTCTGCTTCTAATTCTGCTCATGGAGGAAAGGAATTCTTTATTCCTTTTACTCATTCAGGAATACTTTTCCTCAATGATTCCCCCATTAGTGTGTTTTCTCATAAGACTATGCTGGGTAACTTGCAAGGATTGCTTTACTGCTGTTTTGAAGTTCCATGGAATACTGCTTTAGTGAATTCAAGACTGCATATCATTTAGATGCAGGCATCTCTTTGGAACTCTGGCTTAAAAGTCATGTTTATGACTGTGAAGAGCTATAGAAAAACATTACAGAAACATAATGATGGGATGGTAAAAATTAAGGAAAGCTTATATGGTCAGCATTTGTGATCAGGTACTGAAATGTAGATACTTGAATTCAATGGGAAGAAGGGCAAAATGGGTATAAAAGGGAAATGGTGCCTTTTGAAAAAAGGTTGTTTCAACTTTAAAGGACAAAACACTGAAATAGTTCTTTAGGATAACTAGTAGGAAAGTCCTTGCCATCTTTTGAATGGGCATGTGTACTCTGCTATGTGCTCAGTAGTTCTGGTCTGTGGAGGAGTCCTTGAGTTAGAATAAAGCCTAGTGTGTGCTATGGAAAGAAAGACTTTATATCCAGATAGAGTTTCGATGTAATGCAGTATGTCTCTGCTTAGACCACCAGGATCCATGGGGCCACAGAGGACAACTGCTGTGCAGAGTAGACATACCATGTCAGTTCCTTTGTCTCCACTAGGACTTTCTTCACAGAGAGCAGAATACTGGTATCTCTACTCACATACCTCCCTTCTACCAGGGTGAATAGGAATCCTAGTTATCCATTTAAGAATATTTTTACCTCAATATAACAGGGCTTAATTTTCTTAGAAATTTCCAATTTCATTACATATAGATGTAATGTAAATATATGTACATATATTTTGAAATTATCAAAGATTCCATGTAGTCAAAAGGAATTAAAATTTCTCACTGAATAGGAATAGTTTGGTAGTATGAATTCAGGCTTATGACAGGTGCTGTAGGTACTCTTTGAAACACCTACCCTAAGCCACAAGCAGTCACTGCAGTTTAGTATCACTTGTTTACCAGACCAGGCTTGTACTTTTGAGGTGTAATAAATTTAAATGCATTGTATGAAGTGACATTGCTTCAGCAGGGCAAATGGAGAGCTTTATCCTGGCATACTGTAGTCTGCAGTGGGTGACATGAATTTTGAAAGTCTGTACACAAGGGAACAAGTCTTTTTGCATCCCAGTGTTTATGCTAAAGGCTAATCCCCTTCCTTTTAGGTATGTTCAGAGGAGGGCTTAGAAATTAGAGACGCTTTGTCAAGTCTTTTGGGGTAGATATGGAATTATTCCAGTCATCTTGGTTTCACTGAGCTGTATTTAGAATGTGTGCATTGTGTATTCAGATTTTGCAGAACTTAAGTAGAAAGTATTGTGTGGTGCTTATAAAACCTGAAGTGATGCTTCATATAAATGCTTTATGCCTCTATGCTGTTCTTTTCTGTGAATGTGTGCAGTTTCCTAGGCCATTTTGCCTGCAAGAGGTGTTAGTGTGAATGTGTCATTTGTAGAAGGTGCCAAGTGATAGTTCCTCAGAAAAATAGTTAAAAGATTTAGTTCTGATTTATGAACAATTTTCTCCTTCCTGCT